GGGCTAGGAAGGGGGAGATGCAAGACTAAATTTCTGCAATTCAGTTGTAGGTTAAGCGTAGCTGCCTTGAGTGGAAAGCTGGCAGGCAGTGATGCACCCCCCATAGTAAAAGGACCCCCAACAGCATACAAAGTTCCTTGCTGTTGGGGCTGGGGGCAGAGCTCCATGGTAGAATGCAAGCATGCCTAGCCCAGAGTCCTTCCCAGCACAGCACAAAGAGAACAGAGAGTGTGGGTGGGGGAGTGAGGTGTGTGTGGGGGAGAGGGTTCCTGTGATTTATCTCGTCTTGACTAGCATCAGGAGTGGCATCAGTCCTGCTTTAGCCTTCCATTGATTCATCCCTGACCTTTCTGCCTTCACTTATCTCCTAGCTGGAATGCTGTCTCCAGCCATCAGCCATCACCGCTCCCTGGCAGCTCAGATAACCTGCCCTATACACAGGCTTTCCCAGTAAACACTCACCAGAGAAAACCCAGGCCCTGCCTTGCAGCCCCTTCCCCTCCCTTCACATTCTGCTCTCAGCTGCTGGGTAATGCTGCCTGCTCTAGCCCAACTCCTTGTGAGACTAAGTGCTTTGTTCTTGTCCTTGTGGCTCAGGCTGTCTGGCCTTGCCGCCCCTGGCTTGCCACCGTATCCCTCTTATCTGTCAAAGTCAGTCTGATGTCCAGATCTTCATGGAAGACTCAGTCCCTGTAGCTGAGCACCTGCGATGTCTGCTGGAGGCTGGGAAGAGACAGATAGATGATGGAGGAGTGGCTAGGAGAAAAGACTATAATATCCAGAAAAAGAACAAAATATCCAAAGGGTGGGGGTGGGGTGGGTTGGAGAAGCCCATCCAGAATAAAATCCAGAATTTGAAAACATCCAAAAACGCTGGCACCAGTGTCTCAGGCCTGTAATCCTTACTACTCAGGAGGCGGAGATCTGAGGATTGCAGCTGGAAGCCAGTCTGGGCAGAAAAGTCCCAGTGAAACTCTTCTCCAATTAACTACCCCAAAACCAGAAGTGGTGCTGTGGCTCAAGTGGTAGAGCGGTAGCCTTGAGCACAAAGAAGCTCAGGGACAGCGGTCAGGTTAAAGCCCCCAAACTCAGTCTCTCTCTCTCTCTCTCACACACACACACACACACACACACACACACAATCCAAAAACTAATAGAAAAATTCCAGAAAAAAAAAAGAAGTATCTAGCTCCAGAGTCCTGACCTTCCTAGGATTTTCAGAGCGTGAGTATTAACTGTAGTTTCCTTGCTAAGACTCTGAGCTGCCACCCAAAGGGCGGAGCTTAGTGGGTGTCTGGGCTGGGCTGCCCTGCCCTAGGCTTAGACATTGGTTTCCACAGGAATCCCAGGATGGAAAAGGAAGCAGGGCAGACAGAAAGCCTATGTGTCCACAGCCTTCTCCTTAGAACCTATAAGCACATAAATACAGATTTTTGTTTTGTTTTGTTTTTATGCATTGTTGTTTTCTTATTTTTTGTTGTTGTTTTTTACCAGTCCTGTTGTTGTTTTTTTTTTTTACAACAGTCCTGTTGTTTTTTACCAGGCCTGGGCACTGTCCCTGAGCTTCTTTTGTTCAAGGCTAGAACTCTATCACTTGAACCACAGCAACACTTCCAGCTTTTTCTGTTTATGTGGTACAGAGGAATCGAACCCAGGGCTTCATGTGTGCTAGGCAAGCACTCTACCACTAAGCCACCTTCTCAGTCCCTCTTACTTGTTTTTTGAGACAGGATCTCATTTATATAGCCTAGGCTGTCTGCAAACTCACTATCTTTGTGCCTTTGCATCTAGGATTACAGACATGAAACCAATTCTTTTCTTTTTCTTTTCTTTTTGTCGGTCATAGGGCTTAACTCTGGGCCTGGGTGCTGTCCCTCAGCTCTTAAGTTCAAGACAATCACTCTACCACTTGAGCCACAGTGTCACTTCCAGTTTTCTGGTGGTTTATTGCAGAGAAGAGTCTCACGGACTTTCCTGACAAGGCTGGCTTTGAACCGTGATCCTCGGATTTCAATGTCCTTAGTAGCTAGGATTACAGGCGTGAGCCACTAGCACCCGGCAACACACTGTTTTCTAAATACCTGTGAGTGATCAAAAATCAAGCTATTGATGGGCACTAGTAGTTCATCTCTATAATCCTAGCTACTCAGGAGGCTGTGATCTGAGGATCAGGGTTCAAAGCCACCTTGGGAAGAAAACTCTACATGACTCTATCTCCAATTAACCAGAAAGAAACCAAATTGGAGATGTGGCTCAAGTAGTAGAGCACCAATTGGGTACAAGAAAAAGCCCAGCAGAAGCGCTAGACCCTGAGCTCAAACCCAATGAAGCATGCAGACAGCTTAGGGTTCCTAGTCGTCAGGACAGTGGAGTTATCTCCAAATGTACTAGGTTTCTGGTAAGACTGGATCTGCCCATTTACAGAAAAATCACCAAATGGCTGGTCAAAGTCTCACTAAAAGGGGGTGAGTAAAGATATCCATAAAATTCCTGGGGCCAGACAAGCTGATGTCTATCCCAATAACTGGGAGGTTAATCCAGCGAGCAGAGCACCTCATCCAGTGCCCAGGCATAAGGAACAGAGATGATGACCTCTTGGTCCTACGATCAGTTTGAGACTCTCCAATCTCTACAAGGAGCAATTCATATAGCATGCCTAGCAAACTTGGCCATGTGCAGATACACATCTGTGACACAAGTGACATCTGTCAATCCCTGTGTGTCAGAGTTCAAGCCAAATGGAAGATAGCCCACACCTAACCCTGTCTTGAATCAAATGCCAACCAGAGCAAGCATGGGGCTCTGGAGGCTTGCTAGAGCCGGTTGCTCCCTTACAGTGGATCTTGCTTTCCCGTCAACAAAAGATATCTGTCATTTCATTGTGCTTTCTGTCTGGCTTGAATTTTTCTCTTGTCAAGACAAAAGAATTGAGTGTTACTGTATGACTTTCCAGTAATAGCGGTGCAGCTACAGGTGGGGAAAAGATATCCGAAGGAAAGCAGGTGGAGGAAGAGCTCATGAAAAATGGCAGCCACCATTACCTTAAAAAGATGGCAGAGGACATGTGGGAAGTTCAGTTGAATTTGGGTGAGAGATTAGAGCAGCATCTGTGCAAACTGGACCAGTGTGACTCCCTCCTACCTGAACACATGGCGGTTGGTATAGGACTAGCAAAAGGATAGATTAGTTAGGACCCAGGTCCCCTGGATAGCATTTTGGCTTGGTAAGTGGGAACCAGATTCAAGAGACAACATTATTGCAAATGAGTTTCCAGTAGGACACTCTGTCCTCCCTAGTCATTTTTAGCTCCTCAAGTTCCATTCTATAAGATGGGGGTAGGGTGCAGAAGGGTCCTGATTGGAAATTAACTAACCAGGATGTTACAGCATGTGACCAACACAAACATCACCTTCCAAATGCCTAATTATAATAGGGGCAGCCAATCAGAACATAGCCCACCTACACTTAGCCACCTCGACAGAGCACAGGCCTGCCTTTGACCCAAGGTACTTCACTTGGGAATGTTGTTTGCACTCATCTTTCTCTGTGCACTTTTTTGGTAGAATTCCTGAGGCAAGAACCCAAAAGGGTTCATAGCAGCAGTGTGAAGTCTCAACAGTAGAAGGGGTTGCCGGCTGCTGCACCATGATACTAGCAGCCATCGCCTGCACAAGACTGCAACCTTAGTGGTCTCTACCAGCAGCAGAGCCAGAAGGAATGGGACATCAGTAGGCTCTGTCCACCTCAAAGAGCATCAGAAATACATAGCATTAGGAGCAAGGATACAAGGCAGAAGAGAAGTGGAGTGTTTCTTGGGAATGGAATTAAGGACATGGGCAAAGAAGAATCCAACAGTCAGAGATCATTTGGATGACAGTGGCATCAACTCCACTCAGCCAGACTGTGTGCCCAGCAGGTCGACCAGATGGGATGTCTCATTGGGAAACTCAGGGAAACTCAGAGAAGTCTCTGTATTTTAATTTTCTCATCTGTTGCTCTGGAGTTAGGTAAAATTCCTTGCTTTGAGCTGCTGACGCAAGTTTGAACGTGATAAATGTGATAAACCCTCCTCAGAACTGGCTGTGGAAAAAATTGCTTCCATTTCTTCCCCGTTGTGTTTATCTGGATATGGGCAAATGACTCCCAGAATTTTGGAACATATCAAATGAGTGTCATTAATGTGTAGGGGAGGGGGGGGTGAAGGAATGAATGAAAAATAAATGAATCAATATAGAAAGATTGAACTTACAGGAGCTGCTTGGAAGAGTTGAAGATGCCAGATGGCATCTTTGTTTTGATAAATCTTGTAGTCATAAGCAAATTCACAGATGTTAATTAAATGTGAACTGATACCTTTTCTTTAAAAACACTGGACAGGTAGGGGCTGGGAAGTTGGCTCAGTGGTAGAGCGCTTGCCTTGCATGCCTGAGGCCCTGGGTTCGATTCCTCAGCACCACATAAGAAAAAAGAAAAAAGCTGGAAGTGGCGCTGTGGCTCAAGTGGTAGAATGCTAGCCTTGAGCTGAAGAGCTGAGGGACAGCGCCCAGGCCCAGAGTTCAGGCCCCACGACCGGACCCAAAAACAAAAAAAACAAAAAACAAAAAAACACTGGACAGGCTAAGCACTTGTGGCTCATGCCTATAATCAGCTCCTCAGGAGGCTGAGATCTGAGGATCATAGTTCAAAGCCAGCCTGGGCAGGAAAGTTGGCAGGTCTCCATCTCCAGTTAACCATCGAAAGGTCAGACTGGAGGTGTGGCTCAAGTGATAAGCACCAGCTTTGAGCAAGCAAGCCAAGCGAGAGAACCAGGCCCTGGAGTTCAAGCCTCTGAACAGGCACACACATACACACACACACACACACACACACACTCTCACTCACAAACTTAGGAGCCAGGTGAGATTGCTAGGGAATGATGGAAGGCCATAAGTTAACCAGAGAGGGATGACCTAACTTTGTTAATGCCATTAAGGATCCATTTCCTAGTTAATAACCAACACGCCATCACAGACTCCGAAAATGGAGATGCCAGCCCTCCTTCTGGATTCTCCCAAGTATCTGAATCCTCACAGTGGTCAGCAGGGATTACTGGGGACATCAGCAATCCAAGGCACTTTTTAACCCCCAAAGTATTTATATGAACTTAAGGAAAATTAGTGATCATGTCTCCTTAGTTACCTGCGAGGGAAGTCAAGAGCATGTGCTGACTGCTCAAAACACCTCAAGGATTTCATGTACTTTTATCACTGTGACCGAAACACCAGAAAGAACCACTTAGAGGAGGAGAGATTGATTTGGCTCACAGTTTCAAAGGGTCGATCCATGGTTGCTTGGCTCCCCCTGGACTTGGGCAGACTATCATGGAATGGGCAGATGTGGAGGAAGACACTGTTCCCTCGTAGTGGACAGGAGGCATGGAGAGAGGAGGGGACTGGGACCCAATCTATCCTTCAGTAACTAACATTCCTCCAGTTACCTCCTTCCTCCAGGGAGGTCCCACCTCTGAGGTCTCTAGAGCCTCCCAAAAGAGCTCCAGCACCTGTGCACTGAGCACTCAAGGGTGAGCCAAAGGGGGATATCTCAAGTCAAAGCTAAAACAGCAGTCCAGGCAGGGCCTTGCTTATGTTCAGACTCTTGACAGGAAGAACAAAGTCACCCCATACATAGCTAGAGAGCTTCGCTTAGTGGAAGGAACTCTAGGGATTTTTGAGTTGTCATTTCTTCTTTAAATGCAATTTAAAAAAAAAACACTAATTAGTGTATATTCTGCTACATTGAAGCTCGTCTTGCCACATCTCACTGTGAAATTAAACAAGTGATTGTAACTAACAAGTCCAAGTTACATATGGAAAAATCCCATTAAATAGAACTGCTCAGGCCAATGGCTTCAGCACAGTCTCTGCCGTTTAGTCTGAACAATGAAAAGGATCCCAGCTGAGCGCTACCGAGTGGTACTTCATGCCTGTAATCCCAGCAACTTAGGAGGCTGAGCTCTGAGGATCATTGTTCAGTACCAGCCTGGTCAGGAAAGCCTGTGAGACTCTTATGTCCAATTAACCAGCAAAAAGCCAGAGTGGAGGTATGGCTGAAATAGTAGAGTGCCAGTCTTGAGCAAAAACGCTAAGAGACAGTGAGCAGGCCTTGATTTCAAGCCCCAATACTGGCATGAAGCAGGAGGAGAAGGAGGAACAGGAGGAAGAGAAAGTGGAGGAAGAAAAGGAGGAGGAGGAGGAGGAAGGAGAAGTGGAAGAGGAAGAAGGAGGAGGGAGAAGGTAGAAGGGAGGAGAAGAAGCTGCTGTTGGCCCTGGGGCTTGGGCCTGTCTTTAGCTAGTGATCTACCCCTTGAGCCACAGTTCCACTTCTGGATTTTTGTCCTGCTTAGTTGGGGATAAGAGTGTCAAAGACTTTCTTTCCTGGGATGGCTTCAAACCATAATCCTCAAGTATCAGCCTTCTGAGTAGCTAGGATTACCTAGCTACTCAGCCACCAAAGCCTGGTTTCAGCTCTTGATTGTTGCAGAACAGATCACTCCCAGAACTTCACAGGTCAAAACAAGCTACATGCTCTCATAGCTTGGTAGGCCGAGAACTTCAGAGCTTTCTGCTGTGAACCCGTTTATTTCAGGTAACCGTGGTCAGCTGGGGGTATGCCTCCAGTGGGCTGTGTGGTGCAGCTGCAGCTTCAGTGGGCTCATGGTACTGTCAACACAGCACACTCCATGGAAGCCCCACCAGAGTCAGGCTTGAAGCTGGCTTCGCCTCTCAGGAGAAATATTCCAGAAGGTCAAAGCTTCTTGTGTCCTTACCCAGTGGTTGCTGATGACTGCTCTGTGCCACTCTGATGTCAAGCCTGTCACTGAGGCCAAATGAGATCTATCTGCCACCACTTCCAAAGGGGAGAAGAAGCAAGATTTTGTGGCTCTCTAGAATGGTGAAGAATGGAAGGGATTTTTGTTGTTGTTGTTTTTCCCCAACAGAAGCAGAGCACCTGCTCATGGGTTCTTCCATTCCTCTCGTTCTTTCAGCAGCAAAGAGGAGTCTAGAGAGATGCAAGCAGGTCCTGAATACATCCTCCTAACCTCTCTTAGCGAGGGAAGGATATTTAAACCCCTGGGGCCTCCTTGTGAGCTACTTTCTCCATATTGAAACTCTTTCTCAGGCTTCTTGCCCTAAGCTTTTGTTCTCATCTACAAATTCTTTAGTGTGTGTGTGTGTGTGTGTGTGTATGTGTGTGTGTGTGTGTGTGATTGAATTTAGATTCACACTTGCTAGGTGGTGTCTCTGCCACTTGAACTACATCCTCAGCCCTTTTTGCTTTTTCAGATAGGATATTGTGTTTTTCCACTTGAGCCAGCCCCAGACCATGCTCTTCCTACCTATGCCTTCTACATAGATGGGGTTATATATTAACACTCTTGCTGACATTTTCCCCCAGGCTTGTCTCAAACTGAAATACTCTCAGTCTCTACCTACCCTATAGCTGAGATTATAGGCATGAAATCACTACACCAGGCCTCATCTGCAAATTATTATCATTTTTTCTTATTGATGGTACTAAGATTTGAACTCAGGGTGTCGAGTTTGGAAGGAAAGCTTTTTGTCACTGAGACATAACTCTAGCTCTTTTTTTGCACTGATTAGTTTTCTGCCAGGGCACACCAATGGACTGGGATCTACCTATTTTAGACTGACATAGCTGGAATGACAGGTGGGTTCCACCAGCAGCCAGCTCAGAAACTTAGCTAGTATGTGTTCTGGTTCCCACGAAGCAAGAATGAAGGCCATCCAACCATTGCACAAGAGATGCTTATTACCCTCAGTCCTAGGGTGAGCTAGACCCTGAGGTATAAAGGAGAAGGTAGAAAAATGTGGACACCACAAACAAAACCAACCAGACAGTAAAAACAGCCAAGCACATGACAAATGCCTTTTATTTTTGTGTGAGTAACAGGGCATGGACTCTGGGTGATTTGCATTCTCGCTAAGCTTTTTTTATTCACTGATGGGGCTCTACTCATTGAGTCATACCCTCAATCCAGATTTTTGCATTTTTGTTGTTGTTGTTGGGGTTTTCTTCTGCTAGTTATGAAAATGGAGTCTCAAGGACTTTTCTACCTGAGCTGGTTTTGAATTGTAATCCTCCTGAGTAGCTAGGGTTGCAGGTGTGAATCACCTGTACCACCTTATGTACAATTTTTTTTTTCAGTCATGGGGCTGGAACTCTGGGCCTGGGTGCTGTCCCTCAGCTCTTCAGCTCAAGGCAAGCACTCTACTGCTTGAGCCACAGCACAACTTCCCATTTTCTGGTGGTTTATTGGAGAGAAGAGTCTCCTAGACTTTCCTGCCCAGGCTGGCTTTGAACTGTGATCCTCAGATCTCAGCCTCCTAAGTAGCTAGGATTACAGGCATGAGCCACCAGTGCCAAGCCAAGTATCTTTTAGAAATAAAACCTATTCCAGGTGCCAATGGCTCACATTTTATAATCTTAGCTACTTTGGAGGCTGAGATCTGAGGATCAAAGCTCAAAACCAGCCTGGGGAAGGAAAGGCCGTGAGACTCTTAGCTCCGATTAATCACCTAAAAACCAAAAGTGGAGCTGTGGCTCCAAGTGGTAGAGCATTAGCCTTGAGTAAAAGAGCTCAGGGACAGTGTCCATGCCCTGAGTTTAAGCCCCATGAGAAAAAAAAGAGTGGAAGCTAATCATTTAGCTTCATTTATAGATGAGGAGAGAGTCAGGCCTGAGAGGTTAAATGATTTATCCAATGGCACACAGTGACATTCAACCACCTCACAATGCTGCATGTGCTAGTCCTCTAGAAATATGTGTTAGGCTGACACAACTTGATGGAACTCCACAGGGCTTGTTTTCCAAAGAAAATTGTACCATTTAGAGAAATACAAATAAACTTCCCTAGATGTTGTGTTAAAAAAAATTAAAGCCACTCAGCAGCAGAGCTTGTGTGTGATGTAGTGCGCTCACAGTGTGCTTTAAAAGGTAGCAAATATAGATGAGTTAAAAAAAAAATTAAAAATCCTTTTCTGGGTTGGAAAGGTGGCTCAGTGGTAGAGTGCTTATCTTGTATGCATGAGGCCCTGGGTTTGAGTACTCAGCATAACAGAAACAGAAAAGGCTGGAAGTGGTGCTGTGGTTCAAGTGGTAGAGCACTAGCCTTGAGTTGAAGAGCTAAGAGACAGTGCCCAGGTCCAGAGTTCAAGCCTCATGACTGACAAAAAAAAAAAAAAATCCTTTCCCTGAGAAGAAAAGAAGCAAGACACACTTCTGGATATATCCAGAGAGGTTTCTTGAAGGTGTGGTTTTCCCAGAAGCCCCTTTTTTTTGGGGGGGGGGGTCCGGTCGTGGGACCTTAACTCTTGGCCTGGGCGCTGTCCCTCAGCTCTTCAGCTCAAAGCTAGCACTCTACCACTTGAGCCACATCGCCACTTCTGGCTTTTTTCTTTTCTGCTTATGTGGTGCTGAGGAATCGAACCCAGGGCCTCATGCATGCAAGGCAAGCGCTCTACCACTGAGCCACCTTCCCAGCCCCAAGAAGCCCTTTCTTTATGCCTCCCATTTAGATAAGGTTAGAGTTAAGAGTAGGAGTCTGGGAAAGGAAGCTTTGGGATGGAAGCTGGTCACCACACAAAGGCCCCCGCTGACCTGCAGCATCCCAGGCCCCTGTGTCTTACTTCGCACTTTTGCAAAGGACCTATTCTCTGGGGAAGCCAGTCTGGCAAATATATGAAAAAGAGCTATAAAACTATTTGTCTCCTTTGACCCAATCTTCCTGATTTTGAAATTTACCCCCAAGGAAATAGGCAAAAAAAAAAGAAAGAAAGAAAGAAAGCAAATAACACAAAAATGTTTACAGGAACATCATTCGGGACAGTGGGAAGATCCCATGTGACTCAATGCCCAAAGTTGGGAAAAGGTTATGCACACTGTGGTACTAGAGATAGTAAAATGTTATGTTGCCATTGAAAGGTACTGCAAAGCCAGGTGCTGGCAGCTCAT